TAAAATATAATCGCAATTTTGTCGAGTAATCAAATGAAGTCAATAAACACTATAGTTAGCCAAGGATATATCATATAAGCAAACATACTTATTCACAAATGTGTATAAGTATAAACATATGTATGTATGAAACATACATATTTAATATTTGATCGTAATCGTAATTTAATTTTTACAAATTGATTTTCCTAATATGCATATGACAAGTCAGTATGTACGTTTGATTTGTTCATGTATGTGTACATGTACACATATGCATATATGTGTGTCTTTGTTTTTATGTCGTCAATTTGAAATGTTTATGCATACGCGCGTTCTATTAATCAATTTGACATAGGCATACAAACACATATTGTGCATATGCATGAGTGTGTGAGTGCGAATGTAGTTCTGAGTGTGTGTGCGTATGCTTGTGTGTTTTTGTAGTGTATTTAGAAGCACTAATCTAAAGAGAACAGCAACACAAATATAACGGGGAATTTATTACCCATTCCCTCTCCTTTGTCTTTGCTCTGTTTCTATAAACAAACATACATATATACATACACACAAACATAGATACACGCGTAGACACATACACAGATACACGCATACACACATACACACATACACACATACAATAGGCCAGGTGCGTCAACACACACAGACACAAACGCATCCTCGAACCATTATCGGATAATATTAATGCCCATTACGGGCACATATTGTTACTTACACACAAGCATGCACTTTAGTATCCATAGCTATGTATATACATACATCTGTCTGTATGTGTACACGATTAAACAGCACACAAAAATTGAATGCAAAGTCGCTGTGAGACCAAACCCAAACGTTTAATAGCACCATCGCTCTCTCAGCTACTGTTAACGGCAATATTCTATTAATATGCTTTCACCAACAACTTAACTATGTATGCACATTGTGGTGACTGCTATTAGTGCTGAGCGCCTGCTAACAGTGAAAATTAAAATCCACTTTGGTTCATGGTTGGGCTGCAGTTCACTGCTAACGGCAAATCTAAAAACTCGCCGCAACTATCAAATTTTGTTACTGCAGGCGAAGAGCTTTCTAATGCACACGCAACGTTAGTGGCCTTGCGATCACCCTATACAAGAACAAGCGAGAAATGCTAAGAAACTGCTACAGCGGTAGCGGCAGCGACAACGACAGCGTCAACAACAACAACAACAACAACAGCAACAGCAACAACAGCAGCATACGGAATGAACTGAACAATTTAAGTTCACTCGGTTAACAGACAGACATACAAATGTTCAGTCAGCGTCGCAGCCGCTGCTGCCAGCCAACCAGCCCGTTTTCATTTTTGTTGTAGACTTGCCAATTTTACCTTGCCGCTTCTCTCTAGCAAAACAGTGTCGAACTTAAAGAGCGAGTAACGTGACGTGTCGTTGTCGACGACGTGCGCGCTTGAATTTTTTTTATTTTTGCCAACTTCCTACTATATACAAACACAGCAGGCAAACCTAACAACAACGAAAATAAAACAGGCAAAAGGCAATCCAAACGATACGAATACCGAAGCAAAGCGTGTGTGTAACATAAATGCAAAACGTGCAAATCAAGCAAAGTGTGCAAAATAAGCAAGCCAAAAGAAAAAAAGAGAAGGCAAACATAAATACAAAACACAAAACAGTCGCATCGGAAAACAGAGAGAAAACACCAGAGAGTGCAAATAAATTGAGAGAACGCCGGTCGAGCTCTCACACATATACATTTGCACCCGCTGAGCGAGAGAGCGCGAGAGAGTTCTAGCAATAACGCTGTTCCTATGGCAGCTGATTTTTAAAATTTTGCCGGTAAGCGTGTCAGCTGTTTAACGACGGTGACGGCGACGTCGACGTCAGTAGCGACGCTTTCTCACTGTTACGTTGCCATGTTAGCCACGGCAGCAGCAACAACAGCCGCAGCAGCTTCTGCGAGCAACGCCGCACGCAAACGCAGCCGCAGCACGAGCAACAACAACGGCAGCAAGCGAAGCGCCGGCAGCGCCGCCGCTGGTCGCAAGTTAACCAAGAGCGTGAGTGTTGTTATTTTTTTCTTTTCGTTTTGTGTGTATTTCTCTTTGTTTACATTGGCGGCGCTTCGTGCACGTGCTGATGCTTTCTGCTGCTGCGGCGCTTTGCTGTGCGCCCAGTACACATTTTCTTAACAGGGGTCTGTTAAGCAATTGGGGACACAATTCATGTTAACCCATTGATTGAAATGTCTGGAAATTAACAGAAAATTTACATCTTTTAAAGAGAAATTAGCACACAAACAATTTTCTTTATTTTGCATTACACACTTACGCACATACATTGTTTGAAACTTAAATATATCTGTTCTAGCTAAAGTGTAATCATAAATAATGAAGTACAAATCATTCAATCTAATTGGGTTAATGACGCAAATTAGTAAATAAAAATGATAGAATGTTATATGTAGGTCTTCAACACTTTATTGCTGAAAAGGTTATAATGTTTTATCATACATTTTTCAATGCGCGTTGCTCTAATATTAAATCTACGACAATGACAACGACAAAAACAACGAAATAAAAATGCAAAATAAAAAATACATAAATTAATTATTCGAGTGGCTCTGCCTTGCGTGCTTTCAAACGTTCGTTGTCGCTTCCCATTCATTCGTCGCAACGGCTCGTGTCTGTTCGGCTCGTCGTCGTTCAAACACGACGTCGGACTCGCACGCTAAAAATAAACGGACATAGTTTTTTTTTTCTGTGTTGTGGGTAAGCAATGAAAACGAAAATTTGCGTGACGTCTCTCGACCTTGACTCATCGATGTGAACTGTTAAACTGCGGCTACGTCGGCGAGTGTTGTTGCCTGGTGTTGTGCGACGGCGTTGCCAGACAGCTGCGATTGTTTGGGTTGCTGTGTTGGATGGCAGCCCTAATGTCAACGTCTTACCGCGATGGCGACAACCAGTTTTTAAACACACACAAATACACAGATGTATATATATATGAATACATGTACTTTGTATTTGCAATGAAGCGTTATCACAACTCGTTGCCAAAAGCAAAAAAACTTGTTCGTTGCATGCGCTGCAGTGTCGTAAGTGTGAGTGAGGCGGACAAATAGAGCGAACGTTGAAAAAAAAGTTGCTACCCGAAAGCATTTGAAAAATCACCAAATATGCAACGGTTTTCAAGCTGCATTGGAATGCACTCGCAATCGTAATAGTACTCTCTCACTCTATCGCACAAACATACTTACGTACATCTGGTGCAGTCGCAGCCGCAGCCGCTGCAGCAGCAGCAGAAGCAGCAGTTGCTGTCCTCACACACACACAAGTACCCACATGCACAGATGGTGCCAATAAGAAGTGCATACATACGTTATGCTTGTCACTGCCACACCCTCGCACACTACCCCGCACCCACATATAAGCACACATACATACAACACAAGCATTCATATAGAGAGAGGGACGCTCACGCTCGAATTTGGTTTTGTCTCGATTCGTTCTCGGTTCGCTGTCTACGTCTGCGTCTCGCGGGCCTTTTCGCACGCTTTTGCTTTTGTAGCTCCTATCAACATCAACATCATCATAGATTTATCTCATTCGCGCGCACGTGAGTGGAGCAAGCCGAAAAATTAAGTCGTCGTTGCCCATTTCTTTTGCATTTTGGGCTCACTGCGGCTCACAAAGTTTGTTATCATTTGTTTTCTCCGTTGTTGGTGTTGCCAATTTGGCCCGTTACAACTTTCTTGAGTGTTCGTTGGGGTATGCGTTCACTCATTTTTTCTTACCCATGATTGACAACACTTTTTCCAGCGCGTTTTCATCTTCCGCTCTCACTCTCATCAATGCAGCAGGCAGTACCTTCGGCCAGTGCCCAGCTGTTGTCATGTTCAGCAAACCGCAAATAGCGATGCGACGCGTCGACACCGCAGATTTGCTTCCTTCCTTTTTAACACTATTTGGTGCTAAAAGTGACTGCGGCGCTTGCAGCACTACTGTTGGTAGCATGAATACAAGGATTACGTTGCCCCAGCCAAACGTTTACATTAAAATAAATTTTCTAAGCGAAATTGCGAGAGCTTCATATAATTATTGTTTACTAATTGTATATTTGTTGATTATTATTTATTCATATTTATGTATATCTAACTGGCTTTGGCACAAGTTATGTCGTTAAATTTTTATTTTTTAAATCATAATTTAAATTGCTCTTTTATTTAAAACAGTCATACACACATACACACACATATTCATAAATATATTATAAAAGTACATGCATATTATGTGTGTATAAATACAAACATAATTTGGGCAATGGCGTCGTCGTCAGCATCGCTGCCAGCGTCGACGTTGACGTCAACGCGCTCCACGCGAAATGACAAAGACGCCGGTTGGGTTGCTCTGCTGCTGCTGATTGCTGGGCAATGTTGGAAGTGTAGAAAGAAGAAGAATGCTCGCAGTCGCGCAGCGGCGTCGTCGCAGCAGCAGCACCAACTACAAATAGTTGTTGTAGTTTAGTTTCGGTGTTGTTTTTGGATGGGCGCGCGCGGAAGTCGCAGAAATTTATCAAAAGCAACCGAAACCCAACAGGCCAACGAAGGCCGAGCGAGAGAACGACAGACGACGACGACGAAGCGGTTGCTGCCTGTCAATCGGATTAATTTTTATTGTACATTTCTTTCCGTCGATTTGCAAATATTGTAGTGTTGTGTAGTGGTGCAGTTGTGTTGTTTTCTCCACTCCGGCTCGTTATACGCGCACTCTTTCTCACTCTCTCGCTCTCTTTTTTTTTGGTTTTGTGTTTCTCACCCTTGCTCTCGCGCTCGTGCTCTCTGCATAGCAAAATCGCCGAGTCTGAGACGTTCGTCGCTGTCGCTGTCGCTGCGCTGTCGTCGTTGTCGTTGTCTGTGTACGCGTTTTATTGCTCTTGTTCTTCTTTTTCACCTTTTTTCTTGCTTGTTACGGGCCGCGCGCACCATTACAAATACGCGTATAACAATTTGCTGCCTGCCCCGAAACTGAAAGAAAAATACAAAAACCAGCCATAAACTAAGTACGCGGCGTGCAAAATAGTCGATTATAATCGTAAAGCGTAATGTAAAATTCGTAAAAGTGCAGAAATAAACACAACAATGAATGTGATAAATTATAATAGAATGTGAAAATTCATCCACACACATACACGCACACACATACACGTCATACACACGCATACATACACACACAGAAGCAAAGCGTATGTGTGTGCAGAAAAATATGCGGCGCTTAAAAAAGGTGAACGGCATTTTGTCATAAATAAGACACACACACAAACACAAATACACTCTCATCCATAAAGCAAATGAAAAAAAAATATAATTAAATTGTGTTGTGTAGGGAAAGAAATAAAAAGTGTTGGCAAAAAGTAAATACATATGTAAATAATGAAAAAATTGTGTTGGGTAGACATATAATTTGTATTTCGATTTTCAACGCTGTTCTTATGTCGATTTTTTTTTTCATTGTCTTTGCTTTTTGATAAAATATTTCACACATGCAGAAGCGCACACACAACTACTCGAAGCACACAAATACACAAACACTTCTGCTGCTGCTGCATTGCGCTCACTCACACGCATGTCTTGCGGAGCGGCGCTCAGCAGAGTAGCACGCGCTCGCTATGACGTCTCACTCACTCACACACACACACATACTCGTACTCGTCATTTTGTTGCCATGTATTTTGCACGTTTCTCTTTCGCTCTTTTCGCTGTTCTGCCATTTTTTTTCTTATTTCAATTTGCGGCTCAACCTCACCGTTGCCACTTAGTTGAGAGGCATATGTCTGGCAGCGCTGTGCTGTCTCCAACGAACCAGCGAATCAAAACAAAAAGTGGTTCAGTGTTGCAAAAGGCACTGCCTTGCGTATCGATAAGAGAGGAATCGATCAATTGCTTTAGTTTATGCAAATGTGTTGTGTATAACAAATAAACTCAACTAATTAAGTTTTTTTTTTGTTATATTTTCTTTTTGTTTTGTAGATGTCCGCCGGCGCTCAATTGCAGATGGCCCCACAGACCACATCGACCCTAAGTCATCATCATCCAAGCAGCCAAGCAGCACAACAACAACAGCAGCAGCAACAGCAGCAGCCACAGCAGCCACATTTTGCAAATCATCACAGTACGCAGGCGCAACAGCAACAGCAATTGTTGCCACAGCAGCTTACGCAGCAGCAGCAGCAGCATTTGCAAACGCACACGTTGCATTTGCAGCAGTTAACCACACAGCAACAGCAGCAACAACAGCAAGCGGCGGCGGCGGCGGCGGCAGCAGCAGCGGCGGCATTAGCACAACAACAACAGCAGCAACAACAACAGCAGCAGCAACAGTCGCTGCATCACAGTGCACTGCCGCCACAGCATCAACAGCAGCTGCAACATTTGCACCAACAGCATCCACACGCAGCGCTGCATCAGCAGCAACAGCAGCCGCACGGCGCTGCTGGTGGACACAGCAGCAATCCGGACTCGAATATGAGCACTGGTTCCTCGCACAGCGAAAAGGATGTCAACGATATGCTAGGACTCGGCAGCCTACAGCAACAGCAGCTAAATCCAGGATTGCACTCGAACAACGGCGCCTCCATGCTTGACATGCTCAGTGTCCAACAACAGCAGCAGCAACAGCAGCAGCTCAATAGCACAGGCCCGGGCAGTGGACCCGGACCAGGACCAGGACCCGCCACTAATACCAGCGGGAAGCAGCCGCGCACGCCTGCGGAGCGCAAGCGAAAACGCAAAATGCCTAACAATGCGGATGAGACGGGCAACGGAGGCGGTGGAAGCAGCAGCGGGGTTGTTAGTGGCCTCAAGGTGGGCAAGTCGCTGGCATTTCGCGACACCTCCATGTCGAAGGCGGGCGGCAGCTTAGCGTTAAGTCTGGGCGCCGATCGCTGCCCCCTGCCAAGCGGTGGATCAGGCAGCGTCAGCGGCTCCGGGGCCGGCGCTGGTGGCAAAAGTGCGCGTCTACTGCTGACAGGTACCAATGACAAGAAGATTAACGATTACTTCAACAAGCAGCAGCAGTCGGGTGGCAACTCTAGCCTGCGGCAACATACGGGCAGCAAATCGCCATCATCAGCCACGCAGCAGCAGCAGCAACAACATCAGCAGCAGCAACAGCAGCAGCAGCAACAACAACAACAGCAACAACAACAACAACAGCAGCAGCAGCAACAACAACAACAACAGCAGCAGCAACAGCAACAGCAACAGCAGCAGCAGGTGAACAGCCAGGTGCAGACGACGAACGCGTACTCCATACACGGCTATCATTCAACTAGTCCACAGACGCAGTCGCCCAGCCAACAGCAGGTGCAGCAGGCAGGCGCCGACTTTCATTTCGTTAGCTCGGCGGCGGCGGCGGCGGCAGCGGCGGCCAAACAGCAGCAGCAGCGCCAGCAGCAGCAGCAGCAACAGACTTCCAATGCAATGGTTCCTCAGCAGACGCAAATGGGCGTGGCCATGTCACATGTGGGCGTGGCGCACGGTGTCCTAAATGCCGCCAGTCTGGGTCTGGGCGTGGTAGGGCCACAAGCGGCACAGCAGCAGGCGCAACAGCAGCAACAGTTGCCCGTTACAACATCGGCGGCCAGCGTGGCCGTTGTGCCCACGCATCAGCAACTAAGCACGCTGGGCGTCAATGTCGGAGTTGGCGTTGGCGTCAATGTGGGTGTGGGTGTTGGCGTGGGCGTGGTTGGTGGTCTGCCACCACCGCCGCCACCGTTGCCAATGCCAACGGCTATCATGACGTACACGAAGGGCACCCAAACGGAAGTATCGCAGATAGAGCTGCAGGAGCGGGAGGCGGAGCATGAGTCGGGTAAAGCGAAGCTGGACGAGATGACAAGACTGTCCGATGAGCAAAAGTGCCAGATAATGAACCACCAAAAGTCGATCGATCAGCACAAGTCGCACATTGCCAAGTGCATCGATGTGGTGAAGAAGTTGCTCAAGGAGAAGAGCAGCATCGAGAAGAAGGAGGCGCGGCAGAAGTGCATGCAGAATCGCCTCAGATTGGGCCAGTTTGTGACACAGCGCGTCGGCGCCACATTCCAGGAGAACTGGACGGACGGCTATGCGTTTCAGGAGCTCAGCCGACGCCAGGAGGAGATAACGGCTGAACGTGAAGAGATCGATCGCCAGAAGAAGCAGCTGATGAAGAAGCGTCCAGCCGAGTCCGGGCGCAAGCGCAACAATAACAGCAATCAGCAAAACAACCAACACCAGCAGCAGCAACAGCAACAGAATTCCAATTCCAATGACTCCTCCCAGCTGACCGATCGGCTTGGCGGCAATGCCGGCGCAGGCAGTCTGGACAGTGGCATCGCTGTCGGCAATGCCGCCGTCAACACATCTGGCGCTGGCGGCGTTGGCGCTGGCAGCGGCGCTGTTGTGGTCGTATCCTGCGGCCGTGGTCTCTCCCGCTCCAATTCAACACAGGCACAGCAAGCGCAGCTGCTCCACAATGGTGGCGGTGGCGCAGGTGGCGGCGTTGCAGGTGGCGGCGGCGGTGGATCGGGCGCCAATGTCGGCAACAGCGGAGGCGTCGGTGACAGGCTATCGGATCGCGGTGGCGGTGGCGGTGGTGCTGGCAGCGGACCTGGCGCTGGTGGTGGCGGCGGCATCGGTGGCAACGATAGCGGCAGCTGCTCCGATTCGGGCACATTTCTTAAGCCGGATCCGGTGTCTGGCGCGTATACGGCGCAGGAGTATTACGAATACGATGAGATACTCAAGCTGCGACAAAACGCACTCAAAAAGGAGGACGCCGATCTGCAGCTGGAGATGGAGAAGCTCGAGCGTGAACGTAATCTCCACATACGCGAGCTCAAGCGCATACTCAACGAAGATCAGGTAAGATCAGTTCGCTCTGGCGTCTGCAAAGGCATCCTTGTGTTAATCCTTTATCCGTCTTGCAGTCCCGCTTTAACAATCATCCTGTGCTGAATGATCGCTATCTGCTTTTGATGCTGCTGGGCAAGGGCGGCTTCTCCGAGGTGCACAAGGCATTCGACCTCAAGGAGCAACGCTATGTCGCATGTAAGGTGCACCAATTAAACAAGGATTGGAAGGAGGATAAGAAAGCTAATTATATCAAGTGAGTAGAGGCAGCAGCGAACAGATCAATTCGAACTTAGGACGTTAGGATCGGCAGTCTCTTCAATTTCATATCTACTCTAATCTATTCGTGTCTCGTCTGTCAATCAAGACCAATCTCAAGTTGAATGCAGACAGATAGGCTATAATTCTCTTTGCATTTTGTACATCTTAATCTGTGGGAGAGCTTGACCTGTTCAAGTGGGGCCAGTTGCATAAATAGTTGACACAGCCTAATCAATCTCTTCTAGTCAGATTATCACATTCAATTAGAGCGCTTTAAGTAGTAGAAGAGGGAAGTGGGCAAGTGAGATCGGGCGACATTTGCGAACAGATTGATCATGCTCTGACTATAATTGATATATTATCATTATCTAGACACGCATTGCGGGAGTACAACATACACAAGGCGCTGGATCATCCGCGCGTGGTGAAGCTCTATGATGTCTTTGAGATCGATGCGAACTCGTTTTGCACCGTGCTGGAGTATTGTGATGGACACGATCTCGACTTTTATCTGAAGCAGCATAAGACTATTCCCGAGCGTGAGGCGCGCTCGATAATAATGCAGGTGAGTGTGGCAAATCGTTTCAAATTCAAATTCAAATTCCAATTGTACGTTAGACGAGCACAATAACTGTTAATAATAATCCCAACTATGCATTCAGGTTGTATCTGCACTCAAGTATCTAAATGAGATTAAACCGCCTGTCATCCACTACGATCTGAAGCCGGGCAACATTCTGTTGACTGAGGGCAATGTCTGCGGCGAGATCAAAATAACCGATTTCGGTTTGTCCAAGGTGATGGACGATGAGAACTATAATCCAGATCATGGCATGGATCTGACATCGCAGGGCGCGGGCACCTATTGGTAAATACTAAAATTAACGATTGTAGATATTTTCCCATAGAACTAATACGAATCGTGTTTCACTACAGGTATCTGCCGCCGGAATGCTTTGTGGTTGGCAAGAATCCACCGAAAATCTCATCAAAAGTGGACGTTTGGAGCGTGGGCGTGATATTCTATCAATGTTTATATGGGAAGAAGCCGTTTGGCCATAATCAATCGCAGGCAACAATTCTCGAGGAGAATACCATACTGAAGGCCACCGAGGTGCAGTTCTCCAACAAACCAACTGTTTCCAACGAGGCAAAGGTTAGCACTAACTCCATCCAGCTATAAATTCATATACATTTGCTACTTTTTACGAGATTTCTAATCCTGATTTTATCGATTCGGTTCGTAGAGTTTCATACGTGGCTGTTTGGCCTATCGAAAGGAGGATCGCATGGATGTGTTTGCATTGGCACGACACGAGTATATACAGCCGCCCATACCGAAGCACGGTCGGGGCTCTCTGAATCAACAGCAGGCGCAACAGCAGCAGCAACAACAGCAGCAGCAACAGCAACAACAGTCGTCCACGTCGCAAGCGAATTCGGCGGGGCAAACCTCGTTCTCAGCCCACATGTTTGGCAATATGAATCAGTCCAGCTCGTCCTAGCTGCCAACTAAACGCAATTCCAATTCATAATTCGCCGCCGCAGCAGCAGCTGCTAGCCAACAGCAACGTATCAACAATAACTACAGCAACAATAGCAGCAGCAGCAATAACATCATACACAATAATTACTGTAATCGGCGGCTGCATAACAGCAGCAGCTATTATGCCACAACATTACTAGATGCGGCCGCCTATTGCTATGAGACTGTGATGGATGCCACACACTACAAGTTGCAATCAGTGGCAGTAGCAGCAGCCGCAGCATCATCGACAACAACAACAGCAACAACATTGCATTCACATCAACTGCAGCTGCCTGGACTGGCCATGCCCTCGTTAGCGACAGGCATCGGATCAGCAGGAGCAGTAGTAGCAGCAGCAGCAGCAGCAGGAGCATCAACAATCAGCAGCAACAGCACCACCAGCACCACAACAACAACAACACGCACCTATCTGGGCATGTATAAGCGCTGGCAGCAGCAGCAGCTGCAGCAACAGGCGCAACTGCAGCAGCAGCAACAACTGTTGCTGCTACAGCAGGAATTGCTGTAGATTGTGCGCCCATTGACGTTAAGCAACACTGCCAACAGTTAACGAATACACTTGCTGCTTCAGTTGCTGCAGTTGGATAGAGCAACAACAACAACTACAACAATCACAACAACAACAAAAACCAGCAAGAACAACCCGAAGAATTTCCACTGACGCCTCCCAAGCAAAGCGCGCCGCAAATGCATAAAAATAAAAACAATACTAAATTAAATACAACTATATATGCATATATAAATATATATATGTACATGCATACATATATGTGTATATATATATATGTATATAAATATAAATATATATATATTAAATGTGATAAACAAGCGTAAAGCAAAAAAAAAAACAAGAAGAAATCAGCAAAACATAAGAATAATGAAAGAAGGCAAAACAGCAAAGACAGCGAGAATTGGTTCGAAGCTAACGACGAACGCTGGATTGCTAAAGCTAAAGCTTGAGCAGAAGCAGAAGCAAAAGCAGAAGAACGAGAGAAGCATAGAAGAGATGTGGAGTGAAGATGTGGTCGAAAAGAGGAGAGATGAAGAGCTACATAGTTGTTTAAAAAGGCTGCTAAAAACGTGTATTTTTTTTTTTTTTGTTAACTATATTAAACACAACGTAAAGAAGCAGCAGAAAGTTAATAATAATAATAATTATAATATAATAATTTAAAGAGAAAAAAAAAGAAAAACAAAACAAAAGGTAAATGTAAATTAGCAACTAGTTAACCAGAAAATGCACGCCGACAACGGCGTCTGATTGATATCCATAGAAGAAAACCGTTTTCTTTGTATTACAAAACAAAATATGATAAAAACTAATACTTAATAGTAACAGGCGACAACAACAACAGCAACAAGCAAAACAACAAGAGCAAACAAATTATAGCAAAAATTAGCGTAGATTGAGGAAGGAAAATGCCAAAAAAAAAGAAAGGAAAAGAAAACGGCAATAGATACAGATAACAGCAAATAGCAGAGCAGTTGTTACATTAACAGCAGTAAGCGAACAGTAACATGTGACAGCAACAGTAACATGAACTTAAAACACACACACACACATACTGACACACAATGGGTTTTAGTTGTAATGTTGTTCACACACACACACATCAACACCATCTCACACATATGAGAAATACAATTACATTTATGCATACATAATTATATATACATTATATATAAATACATAACATTACCTACATACACACACATACATCTAACGATAATTATGCCAGTAATTTTTATACTCTGACTTGTCCAAACCAATTGTATTCCTCCACATCTGACGCACCTGACGCATATAACGCACTTTCAAAATTTCTACAAAGTTTTAAATGAAACTCGAACTCGAATTCGTGTTTCCATTTGAATTTTATATCATTTATTTTGTATCAAAATTCTGTTACATCCAATAGTGTATATTTCTTATCGTATTGGCACACCCACACACACACACACACGCTGAACAACAACAAGAAGAAGAAAACCCAAGCAAATGCAAAAACATTAGCAAAGTTATAAAACGGTTTATGCAGAGCAAGTGAGACAAGGAGTACACAAAATAAAAGAGAAATAGTTGAAATATTTATCAAAGATAAAGAAAATCATAAAAAACACATTTTTATATAATGCCACGCAAATGTAGCAACAACAACAAAAACGCTAAATTTTCAACAAGTTGTACCAACTCTTTAAAGTAAATATATAAATTATATATATGTATATGTATATGTATATGCATATGTATATGTATATGTATATATATATATATATATATATATATATATATATATATATATATATATATATATATATATATATATATATATATATATATGTAAGAAAACACATCTGAGAAAAAAAGAAAAAGAAAGAAAATTACTTCTTATTAAATATAATAAACTAATGTAATAGTTTTTATTAAATATATATATATATATATATATATATATATATATGTATATATATATATATATGTATATATATATATATATATATATATATATATATATATATATATATATATATATATTATATTATATATATGATATATATATAGTATATATATATATATATATATATATATATATATATATATATATATATATATATAAACATATATATTACATAAAATATTTTTTTTTTTTTTTTAATTTTAAAACATAATTGTAATGAACTACTGCGTAACAATGTATTAAATATTAATATCAAAAGCATATTAATAGAAATATATATATATATATAAAACAAAAAAAAAACAACAAAAAACAAACAAAAACCATTTAAAAATATGAGAGAAAAAAACAAAAAAAAACTACCACGCTAAATGTTTCAATAATATATAGAGATATATATGTATGTAAAGCCCATATATGAAAAACTAAAATATGAAAGAGAGAAGCAGAGAGAGAGGAGAGAGAGATGCCAGCTAAAGTTGATATATGTAGGTTCGGGGCGGGTTGGGGACTCTTCCTCAGGCACTTTCAAGGCACCCAAATTCCACAGCTTTTTCAAGCCGAAGTCAAAAAAAGAAAAATAAAAAACAAAAAACAAAAAAAAAATAATTTAACAAAATTAAGCAAAAATATTGAAGGGCTAAGAGCAGAAGCGCTAGCGTGTGTTAGAAAGAGACAGGGACAGAGACAGGCAGAGCTGTAAAGAGAACAGAGCAAGAGCGAACATAAAGAAACAAAGCAAAAACAAAAGTAAAACACATTTTTTTCTTTAGTCAATACAAATATAAAACGAAATGAAAATTAGGTTTTAGTGCGCTAACAAAGTAAATATGAAATATTGCAAAGCGAAACCGAATGGGCATGAGACAAGCATAGGGCAGACAGAGATAGAGACAGCCACACATGAAACAGGAAGCAGAAGCAGCAACAGTTGAGAGCGGAGAGAAGAGCAGAGAAATAGAGCAAAAGCAACGGTAACGGCAACAGCAACAGCACGAGTTGCAGCTGAAGAACAAGCAAAAATAAAAACAAAAACAAAAAATAAAATAAAGAGAAAAAAAAAACCAAGTAGCAAAGAAACTGTAAATATTAAATATACATATATAAATGTAATAATACAAATAATAATAATAATTAATTTATGCCTAATTACAATTTAATAAATTCGATGAAAGAGCCACAAAAAGCAAAGCAAAGCGAAGCAAAGCAAAAAATACAGCAAAAAGCGAAAAGCAAAAAGCAAAATCGAGAACCATTTCAAGAGATGCGTACTAATTATATAATTATATTATTATAGATATGTGCATGTATGTGCGTACTTTCCTTTAATTTTAGCCATCAGTCTTAAGTGTGAACTTTTTTTTCTTACACACACATACACACACACACACACACATACGTCTATGTGTATTTTTTTTAATTATTGTCACGTAAATAAATAATGTAATTTAAAGCTATGTTTAATACAACTATAATTATTACCATTAATTTTATTATTATTATAATTATAATTATAATTATTACGATTGCTTTTTTTTCTTTTTTTTTTTACTCTACAATTATCGATGGAGTGCGTGGGTGTTGATTGGATTTGACATAAGCAAACAGCGAGAGCGAATCTATTTGTAAAATGCACATTTTAAATTATATATATACACACACACACACACACACATACACATACATATATATATATATATATTTGAAAAAAGAAACAAAACTATTATTTTTATTATTATTTTTTTAAAAACAGTTTCGGTTCGCCACACAGCGAAAGCGAACTGAACAACAAAATAAACAAAAGCAAAATGTTTTGAAAAAAAGAAGCAAAAACGAGATTTTTATGATTTATTTTCCATTGATTTCGCTCAATTCGAAGAGAGAAGGAAACCCAAAACTTTGAGAAGGCATAAAATAAAGCATAATAACTATTAAGTGTTTAAATAGTACTAACTAAACTAAAACAGAAAGAAAACAGAAATCAAAATATACATACTTAGAGCCCAACAATAACATGGAATACAACAACAACAAACAAACAAACATACAAACAACAAGCTGGTGTCTCATTTGCAGCGGAAGTCGCAAGAAAAGCCCAAAAATTACATTATTTGTTGAGTATTTTATTAATTATAAAATTTCAATTGACAAGCGAGAAACAAAAACAAAAACTGATTATACATATATATATATATGCATATATATGTGTATATTTATATATATATAAATAATTATTTGATAGTTATGCTAAAAAATTATTTAAAAAAGTGGGAAAGGCGCACACGGCTTGCAAAAAGGGCTTAGACTGGGACCCAAAAGCCAATTAAAACCAACACAAGAGAAAACAAAAATAATAGAAATAAAATACTTCCCACTGGGTTCTAGGCCACGTTTCTACAGGCTAACAGCATCTATGATAAAACAGAAAACAAGAATTATATATATATAAATGGAAATTGCATGATGATGATGATGATGATGATGATGATGATGATGATGATGTGTGAAAAAGGTGTGAAGGGCCCGCAGCGCAGGCATAGGGCAGTAGACAGCAGGCAGAGGGCAGGGCAAGCGGTCGAGCAGATGCTGAGCAGACGATATGAAAGAAAACCCAGATACTAAATTAATAAGTAAAACAAAATGAAATTAATTAATAACAAATTTCAAAACAAAACAAAAACAAATGAAAAAACCAAAACCAACAAAACATTGAAAATAAAAAAAAAATACTAAAATGATTACAAAACAAAAAAAAAATTTACAAAAAAAATGCAGTGTTTCAATTGCATGGCTATTCCAACACACACACACATACACACATGCATGTATATATATTTATATATTTGCTTATTAACTATAAAAGATTGCTGGAAATCCGGGGGGCACATCGTCGCGGCCATGGATCAATCGTTCCACTGATTGGGCTGATGCCGCTTACTTGTCGCAGGACAGAAGCGCCGTCCGCACAGCCTCAGCCACGCAGGCATCCTCGGCGGCCATTCCTTAGTGGTGTGGGGGATAATCAATTTAAGTTTATTCAAATTCAATTTGACAGCTCAAGTCTATAGTCACCCATCGACTGGAATATGGTCAGTGCCTGCGCGTCCGGATAGTTAGCATTGAGTATAATGTCGCCCACCTCGCCGGCTATGGGCGCGGGCAGGCCGACCAGCTCGCTCCTGGCATTTGCCATGCAGTCCACATAGACCAGCGACTCCTTATAGATATCGGGGGCCACCTCGCCAAAGTGCACCTCGCCAGCGCCCACAGCTGAAAGCAAATCGACAGACGAGAGTTATGAGTGGTGTCTATACATAGGAAAAGCCATCAAGCTCTATGGATTCGCAGATCCCTCATATCACATAAGTTATTAAGGAATCATCATAGTAGATAAGCTGCCATGTCATGGAGTTCCAAGCGTACGTAGACTAGGCTAGGCAACAAGCCATACAGAGGACTTCCAGCTGGAACCAACAACCAGATGCTAAGGGACAAGTCCATTCATGGTTAGTCTATTTGTCCAAGACGTACCGTTGATGTGAACGGCGCGCTTGTCCTGCAGATCCTTGGCATAGATAATCGGCTCATGAGCGTAGGTGGCAATGCAGATGACATCCGCCTGTGCGACGGCTTCGCTTGCCAAGCTGCAGACCTTGATGTCGGGCAAGCCGGGCGCGTAGCAGCTGTCTCGGTCGTTGGTCATGCGCTGGCGCAACTCGTTGGCCAGCTGAACGGCCCGCGGTTCGGAGCGATTGTAGAGGCTTAGCTGTTTCACCCGGAAATTGGCGCACATGGCGGCGGCATGTAGTTGGCCCTGGACGCCGCAGCCAACGATGGCCACGTTGATGTCCTTCTGATGCTCGGCGCTCGGACCGAAGCGGCGGAAGTATAAGTATTTGGTGGCCACTAGGGAGGCGGACACGGTGCGCCATGTGGTGATATCCGTGCCGGCCATCAGAGCCTCAAGCTCGCCCGTCTTCACGTTGAAGAGCAAAATGTTGGCGTTGATGCTCGGCAGCGGCGGCTGCAGCTGCTGGTTAGACCGGAATGATGTGACCACCTTGCAGGCCAGCGTCGAGCGGCCAACGTTGGTGGCATCGCCGCCAGTGCCGCCCTCCGACAGGCGATAGTTGCCCACAAAGGCGGGCATGGTCAGTAGCAGCTTGCTCGGATCCTTGCTGCAAAGGGTGATGCTTCGCGTTGGCTGATTTACGTAGGACTTAATATGGTTGCTTATGGAATGTTGATCGTCACAGCGCGCATGAGCTGGGTCAGCCCGGGCATTGGCTGACGGCATGACGACCGCCGTGAGCGCCGCCTCGACAGCTTCGTTTACCATTGGCCAGTTGAGGACGCGACGCACGGACTCCGCGCTGTAGAACACAGGTACCAGATGGTTCATTTTCAAGCGAGTTACTATTTTTAGCTACTTGGGAAGCTTCGCTCCGGACGGATCTTGAAGATGCAATGACGACTAAGTTAACATGCAGAAAAAAGTTAAACGCTAATATGACATTAAACGCATAGCCTGCTAATACAACTAATGGAATATCAAATCAAATATGTAAATCCAAATATATTACGTTACGCATTTGCAACCTGCTCGTTATCAACTGCCTTTCATAACAGTGATCTCAGATCACTTTCAACTGTTTATGGCCGTTCAATACCAGATTTAACACATTTTATTTAGTATTTTTTGGGATATTGTATAAATATATCGATATCGCGGTCAGGTCTGCAAAGTGCATTATGAGAATTGCTCTACTATTGAGTTATTTCGCATATAAAAATATTATTAATATCTTATGTTTTTCAATTGTGAAATAAATTTTTTACATTTTTAAATATTTTCTTTACTTTAGTACTGTTAGTGTTATCTTTCAGTGTGGCTGTGTTGCAGTTTACATTCCCTACTATTTCTATGTTAACATTCAGAGAAAGCCATATTATTAACATACTTCAAATGTTATCTTACAGTGAATGTTGTGGTGCAATTTACATTCCTATTTTCAATGTTAACTAACAGAGACGTGTTTTTTAGTATTTTAAATATACATTCGATATGCGTCACAAGCTCACTGCTATGATTTAATATCGATACATAACAGCACTGCTGCCAGCTATCGCGGTTATTTCCGTTGGCCATTTAAACAAATCAAAATTGTACATGATATATAGAGTTAAAGAAAAATACATTAAGTCCCAAAATATCCATGTTGAAATAAAAAACTTCGTCTTCAAATAGGTCAACTATTTTAGCTAATTTGGAGCAAACTTTGTAATATCGTACGTTTCTACATATTGCGCTCGTCCAAATAGGTTGTTTTTCTAAGGGCTCCATGTGGATATCTTCGCTAATTATTGTTAGATTTCTTTTAATGCCAAATATCAAAAAAAGCAATTGGCCAAATGGATGAAAGAAGCTGCTAGCAGAATCCCCAAAGAGTCAAAATCAAAAAAACCTTTTTGATATTGTATTAAAGCAGAGGCTCATTAGAAGCTTTCAAACAGACGAAAACGTGTGACAAAACATTCCATTTCCATATTGATTCACCCTGTAAACCTAGCAGCCTCTACACAGATTTATTTGAAAGCTTCAACAATTGTTTCAGAGCTATAATTTTATGCAAAAACCCCACTGTGCTGCCCATGGGAGGAGCTGATGATCTGTCTGCTGGCGTCGGCTAGTGTCCTGCTTGTAAGCTGTCTCATCTCAGTCAAATGGACTGATAGAGGATCTATATCGTTGAGTCAAGCCGTAGCTAATTATCAAGAACTGGCCTTAGAGCGAGGCTAAAGTACTTTCATTTAAATGGCTCGCTTTTCATCTTAGCCCTTGCATTTTCCCAGCACGGCTGTGGGCGTGAAAGCATTTTCACTTGTGTGTTGGGAGTGCTCCGATCGCAAAAAGAGACGCAACACGAACCGCGAAAAGAAATAATACCACAAAAGGGAAAACATATGGCTGGGCGGGCTCTGTGCTGCGGTTGCTGCCGTAGCTGATTCTCGCTACTGCTGCTGCTGCTACAGCTTGGCGGCGAGTGACATGTTCATCTCGGCATCTTAATGTCGAAACTGAGTCAAGCCCCTGACATCGTCTGCCTCATTTGCGAAAGTGAAAAGCGTTTCCCGTCGCTGCAGCCACAGCAGCCACAGTGGCCGCAGCAGCTGATAGGAAAAATTCATTTTTGCTATTGCATTGTTTTGCCTGGCTGCGAATTGTTTCTCTTCAGCTACTAATTCAAATTTTGACATAATTTTTAACTTTCTCACTTTTGTCTTGGCGCCTATCAGTGCAATTTCTCTTGACTTGACCTTTTCGCGCAGCATCAGCGCCCGCGACCGCTCGCCCCGACCGCAGCTCCACCCTCAGCGGCAGTGGCTGTCGCCTTTGTGGCTGGCACGGCCTTGGGAATTGCATTTGCTGTTGATTTATTCGCACCACCATCAGCACCACAAATCAAAGTCAATTGCCGGCTGATGCTGACTCACCAGCCACCCCAGACTCCTGCCTGGAGTCGAACCTGTTGAGCCTGCACAGCGAAGCGAGCCCTCGCGCCTTGCCTCGCACTGGTTCTGAGTGGCTTGACCTTGGTTTGATCTGCGGTAAGTGGCCGGCCATAAGTTTTTGGCGTTGCCATTGCGCAAGCGTTGCGCCCCAAATCCGAAGCCAAATGCGAATTTGAATCCAAAATTGAATACGAAAAGTGAATTGTCGCCGACACTTTGAATAAATTGTTTGGCGATTTGGCAAGCGCCAAAAATTAAATGTAAACCAAACAGCGAGCAGCGAACACCGAACACCGAACATCGAACACAGGCACCAAACTCCGAACTCCAAACACCCAAATCATATGCGAACACGAGCCGAAACAAAAGCAAGAAAAAATTGAGAAAAATTAAGCGATCCAATCACTATTAAATGCATAAGCAACAACAACAACAACTAAAACAATAACAACAACAAATTATTATTAACAATTTGCGTCAAAACAAATGCAAATGTTTTGGGCTTTAGCACTTTGCCATTAGCTTTGTAACTGTAAAAGCTGAAAATAATGAATACAACTTCAATTATAACATTCATAAAATATTAATAAAATTTTAATTAATATTCATCAAATGTATTAAATACATTTTATTAAAACCCGAAAAAAGGATTTAATTAAATTAAATAATTATAAAATGGTAGTTTTTTATTTAATTAAATGTTATTGAAATAAAAATTAAATTTAATTAAATATTGGCAAAATATTAATTTAATTTTCTAAAATATAAATAAAATATTATTTATTAATTAATTAAATTATTAAATATTTATTTTATTGAATTTTATATGCATAAAATAATAATTAAATTCAATTAAATGTTCAATCGCGATCAGTCGTTCGACCTGTAAAGACGTGAATTCGAACAGCCTTCGCTTAAGCTCTACTGCTGCAGAGTTCTAAAAATAGAACTTTGCGGTGCATTCTTCAACGCAACAGCAACAAAAACCGCACACGCAGCGTTTTCTTATCGCTTGCTTCCGCGTAACTCAATTGCTTTAATTGCAATTTACGAAATTTCGTCGCTTGGCGCGAGTGCGCCTGCACTCAAAAGCACAATCCGCGATGACATCTAATGTCAATAACCTCGCTACAGCTGTAAAGGTAAATGCAGAAATGCAAGCCCAGCTTAACGTTGTGATGGCAAATAGGCAAGCCTCCATCATGCCAATAAACTCAAAAATAGATATCGCCTCCGTGCAAGGCATCACTAACAACAAAAACACGAAACGTAAACAGCCAAATTCACCAAAAACCATCAAGAAAAGGCTCATCTTCGACGAACCAAGCACCAGCAATGCAGCATTAATATCAGAAAATCGATTTTCACTGCTCGTAGAAGAAGATGAAGACTACAGCGAATCACCTGTAGCTCCAGAAGCCCCAGTATTGACCGACCAGCAAACTACACCGAAACCTCGTCCGCCCCCCATATGGTGTCCAAACATCAAGTCTGTGGCCCTACTTCAACAGATAATAGATAAAGTAATTGATGCTAAATCATACGTAATTAAGCCAAAGAAGAATAACATAGGTGTATTAACCCAATGCAGTGAGGACTATCGCAGAGTTATAGACCACTTTACTAAGCTGGAATTGGAGTTCCACTGCTACCAGCTTAAGGAGGACAAACCATATAGAGTCGTGTTCAAAGGGCTTCACTCCAGCACTGATACAACACTAATTAAAAAGGAATTGGAAACCAAAGGCCACACAATTACAAATGTGCACAACCCACTGAGCCGTATGGACAAAACACCGCTAAATATATTTTTTGTTGACGTGGCTCAGGCCCCCAACAACAAAGAAATTTTGGACATTCGAGTTGTCTGCAGGCAACGCTGCACAGTGGAACTGCCAAGAAGATACAACGACCTGACACAATGCCATCGCTGTCAAGAATTTGGACACACACAACGCTACTGCCACAAAGCTCCCAGATGTGTGCGTTGCGCCGGGAAACACGCATCCAAAGACTGCACCCGCGAAAAGGACCAGGCACCAACTTGTGTGCACTGTGAGTTACAGCACCCAGCCAACTATAAGGGCTGCCAAGTATACAAGCGGTTGCGCAAATTGCAATCCCCAGCACAAAAAAGGAGTCCCACACAAACACCGTCTACGGGTCCGAGTACTGCTTCCGAAATTACAAGGCCCCGGAGCATTACCCAAGCCACGAGCTTTGCAACGCCTATTAGTGGTGTTTCTTACGCACAGGCCGCTAGAGGTGGACCGTCAAATAAGAATACCACAAGTGACACTTTGTTCACTGAAATGCTTCAGCAACAACAACGTCAGTTTGACGCAATTAATGCCGAGCTCAAAGCGATGCGAGAAGTACAATCCCAACAAGCAACCATGCTAAACAGTTTAATGGCCATCATAACCAAGCTTGCCTACAAATAATGGCTTTACGTGTGGGTATCTGGAACGCCAATGGCCTGAGAAACAAGACTCAGGAACTGGCTGCGTTTCTCTCACAAGAAAACATAGATATAATGTTAATAACAGAAACTCATGAGTGCCCCACTACACAAATTTTCGGATACGAACACTATCAGGCTCATGGTGAAGGAGCAAACTGCTTTGGTGGATCCTCAATCCTCATACGAGCAACAATACCGCATACACCTTTACTGCCAATTTGCAACGCAACAATGCAGGTCTCAGCCATCACCCTGCCTACGTCTATTGGAGCGATCGAAGTTGCGTCAATTTATCTTCCGCCAAACACTGGTCTGTGTGATCATCACATGGAACAGGTTCTAGGCCAAAGGTTGAATAAGACCCTCATCGGCGGCGACTGGAATGGATGGCACCCATTTTGGGGAAGCAATAGTGCGAATCGTCGCGGAGAAGTCATATTTGAGGCGATTCAAAACTTACAATTCAGCATATTGGCGACTGGAGCCCCC